CTGCATCCAGCTGCATATTGCTCAGCACAAGTGTGCTGTGGTTGCTTTTGTTGGTTGTTTCTCTTTGAGTCTCTCTTACTGGTAGCTACTGGTGCTGCATCCTGGCCTAAGCTTGGCTACTCCAGGGCTGGTGCTCAGCCAGCACAGTTATGGAGCTAGAAACAGCCTCTCTCATCAGCCAGAAACCCTTGCTTACTCTGTTATCTTTCACTGCATCTTTTATTAAAGGCTGTCTCTGATTTTCTTTGAGCAGTATGGCAAATAAAAAAAATTATTGCAGTGGTAGCAGTGCAGCACACATTGGGATATTTCTGCTCTGCATCTTAGCTCCTGTTTCCCACATACACATCAGGTTATGTCCCATACTGTGATGCCAAAATTTTCCATTGTGCATTTCTGATGTGGTAATTACTGTATCTGTTTATTTAGCGCTTTCAATCACTGGCAGCATAATGTTCTTTTAACCATTACACTTGAAAATATCAGGGCTTCATAACTTCTTTATTTAATACAACTGCAGATGTCTTTGGTCTCTTGTACGTAAGTCACAGATCTTCTGTGATTCTGGCTCACCGTGATCCAGTTTGGTGTTGACTGTCTCAAGTCCTGTAGTTTCACTTGCACACAACAGTTATGACTACATTTCTCTACATGTAGTACTCCTTCAAGTTACGCTTTTAGTGGATTTTCCACCCATCCAGCATTCAGCTGGAGCTTTTTTTAACATTCTAGTAGTTGTAAAAAATAGCACCTAAAGAGGTCTTGATGAAATATGCATCCTGTATAATGTTTACTGTTCTTGGGAAGATTTGTCATGATGTTGCGTATCAGATACCTAAAAAATGTTCTGCTTGCCACTCTCCATCACTTATCTGTGCAGTTAATAGTTTCTTGTAGTACTGTGTGTTTCGTCATCAATCTGCAACCTTTAAAGAACATTTCTCCTTTTATTTTTATTTTTCCATTTTAGCATAAGTTTGAGTCCTACCTTGCAAATTTTTTTACCTGTAAATTTAAATCTTAACCCATTATCCAAACAAATAAGCTCAGAATGGATCTGAGAGGACCTAATTGTACAAATAGAATCCTACCTATTCTTGGAAGTCTCTTTTAGACATGCGTTCCTCCTTTCTCCAAGAATCTTATTTGCTGACATGGATGCCTAGAATGTCCCTTGTTTTCATCAGGATTAACAGACCCTGGCATTGCCCACGTGCATGGGAGGTAATTTTTTTTTCTTCCCCTGAAGTTGTTGCATTTATGAAGCTTTTCTTATTGTTCTGGTCTTTAGCTCTCTTTGAGAGAGCCATAAGCTCATTATTTCATTGTATCATAGAAAAAAATTACATTAAAGGAACATCTTGAGTTATTCAGTCCATCTTCTGCTTTCAAAGAAAGGCTGACATTAAAGTGAGGCTGAGCTGCTCAGGCCCCTGCTCTGCCATGTGCTGAAATACCCATGCAGCCTTCCTGGCATGCCTCTTTCAGTGCCTAACAGTGAGGAATGCTTTTTCCTTTAGTCAAACCCATGTTTCCCTTATTGTGGTTTGTGCTGATTATTACTTTCCTTCCATTATACACCTCTCTGAACAGCCTGAATCCACTTTCCCCTTTAGTTATTTCAAGCCAGCAACTGGATTTCTGCCTGGTTTGCTTTCTTGTCTCCATTGTAGCTGTTCCCATGGCCCCAGGAATCTTGCATCTCAGCGTTGCTGTTATCCAGCAGCTCTCTGCCTCTTGCCTTTGTTTTTTCTCTTTTAATCTAAAGGATTAATTTAATTGAGAATATACAGTGAGATGATCCTCCTACTCATTTTTTTTTTTTTTTTTTTTTTTTTTACTGTTTAGTGAAGATGTTATCCTCCTCTTTTTCTGCTCTCTTTTTCTCCTGATGCAGTTTTGGTATTTTAGATAAAAATGACCTCTGTGACTGTTTTCTCAGCTTACTTATTTGGGGACTTTATTACATTTTGCTGCTTTTCATACCAAAGACATTATTTCCCTAGGAAAACTGAGCTTCACAATACCCTTTCAGGATAGAGCACAGCTGTCTGATCTTATCTGATCCAGACAGATGCCAACCCTTTCTGCCAAGCACAATTCTCTTCCTGAAAGAAATACCTTTTTCTGTAATCCATGCAGTTAAAAAAGTGATCTGCATACATATGTTTGTAAAGTGGGGTTTATTTTAATAAGGCAAAGGAAAAGCAATCAGATGTTAGAGAGTTGCCATAACAAATAGAACTACTTCTATCACTTACTTCATCACCCATTTCAGTGTAATTGTCTTATTTATACTGGCTTCTCCCTTGGAAGAATGCATAGCAATTTCCAAATGTTTAATTAAAACCTAACAACTCTAGTGTGATGTCACATAGTGTATGAATGAGAGAAGATAAGGCCCTTTCAAGCAATTGGTATCTAAATGTTTTGTTATACTCCTGTATAACTGTTTTAACTGGCACTAAAGCTGGGGATGCTCCTTTTTGTTGCCTTATAGTTCACTTGTGTCAGGATGTCAAATCCTTCTGAGAGCTAGGTTAGGCTTTTTTGTTTGTCTTAAATGCAAATCATGATTTATCTCACTTGGATTCAGGGAGGGTGCACAAAAATGTCTAGTGATGCTATGGAGAAGCTACTACCTTAGATGGGTGTTCTGCTGGGGAAAACACACATCAATCCCAGTGTTCAATTAGGCATAATTTAGCTACCTAATTTTGCAGCGCTAGGACCATAAAAACCTAAGCATTCATTAAAACCACCACAAAAAATCCTTGGCTGACTAGCTTGTGCCCAACTTCTCTGCAGTCACAGAAACAGCAAATGGCTTGGTTTGGAAGGGACCTTAAAGATCATCCATATCTAACCCCTTGCTGTGGGCTGGTTGCCTCTCACCAGCTCAGGCTGTACAGGGCTCCATCCAACCTGGCCTCGAGCACCTCCAGGGATAGGGCACACAGCCTCTCTGAGCAAGTTGTTCCAGTGCCTCGCCACCCTCTGTGTAAAGAATTCCCTTCAAGTACTGGAATGTCTCATAAGGTTTCCTCAAATTCTTCTCCAAGCTAAACAAATCCAACTCCCTCAACCTTTCTTTCAAGAAGAGGTTCTCCAGCCCTTTGATCATCTTCATGGCCTCCCGGACCTGCTCTGAGAGTTCTGCATTGTTGATGTGTTGAGGACCCCGAGTATGGATGAAGTACTCCAGATGAAGCCTTACAAGAGCAGAGTGGGGGGGGGGGGGGGGGATGATCACCTACCTTGCCCTGCTGGCCATCCCTCTTTTGATGCAGAAGTCCTTGCAGAACTCAGTACCAAACTTGGGAGTCTCAAGGTAGCCACCAAATATGCTTCATATGCACCACTAGCAGAATGAGGGGGAGGTACAGCCTTTCAGTGACTAATAAGGGTAGCTCTTGACCTGGACTAGAATCAGGATTTCTCTGGGCACTGCAGTGAATATCCTACTCAACGGGCAGCTCTTCATCATCTATGCCCTGTCTTGCTCCTCCTTCCTCTCCTGAGGAAGCTTCTATTCATTACTGTGCCACTTCAAAAATGGTGAGGATTTTCAAGGTTTCTGCACCTCTGTATTATATTCTAACAGTTAAAGGATTTCATTTCAAATATGATAGTGGGCTGTCTGCCTGTGTATGTATACCCAAACTTTGAGGATGTTTGAAGAAATGCATTCAGAGCAGCCAAATCAGTTCTCAGTATTAAGTCAGTTTTTTTCCTTAGATTTCCCAGAGCTGCTTTTTTTCTCCTCCACTATTAGTTTTCTCTTCCCCCCCTACAAACCTTCATGCTGATTCTTTAGAAGCACATTTCTTAAACCTTCAAAAGACTCCAGGTATAATATGTATCCCAGATCCTTTGGTTTGGCAGTATGCTGTCTGTTTTAGCTAATTGTTTTATGTTAGCCTTATATGATCCACTGTCATTGGCTACCACTCAGGTAGGTGGTACTTCTCTCTTTTGAAAAGTGTTAATTAGATAACTGGCTTAGGCTTTGTATCATTCTTTGTGACATTCTTTGAATGTACCATCTCATAATGCAACAGGCCAAAATTGCAGAGAATAGATTTTCTTTTTTGGTGGGATTTAGCTGAAAGTCTGCTGTGTGTTCTTCCAATGCATCTGTGATACCTGGTGGCCTTATAACATCAAAGAATTGTCTCATTCTCAGTGAATACTTCTTTGCTCTTCTACTGACTTCTGTGTAAGGACTCACGTAGGCTCATATGGTGTATGTATAAGGGAGGAATACATGACATAAGATTAAAAGTGGTGATTGCTATTTGCCTTTCAGAAATGGCTACAAATGTTTGTTGTATTATTTGTGGGAATCGCTGACCAGGTTTTTTTTAAAGGGTAAATTCAGCACTGTTAAGGTGGTCATTTGACTATTAATTTCCCCCTGTATTTGGCATTTAAGGTGTTGTGCAGTCCCTGATTTTGTTCCTTTTTCTTAGCTGTTGGCATACCTTCCTTCTCCATTGCAAATGCATGCCAACAAGAGTGGAAGTAAAGAAGCATAGCTTGTAAACCAATCCCTGCAGCCTAGTCAAAGCGTCTAGGATGCATCTTAAAGGCTATGTTAGAAATACAAAGCAGAATGTGCAAAGCTCTGTTAGGGAGAGTAGATACAGGAGGGAGAATTGGCTGTTCATTGGCCAGCTTGGTGTCAGCATGGCTTCTCAGTGCTAAGTATTGGGAAACGTTACAGGGTAGGAATGCTGTCTCCAAAGAACAACTGGTCCATTGTTGGTGGGTTGCAAGTTTTTTTAAGGCCTGTTGCAAGTCTTACTGTTATGTCTGCATGTTGCTAAAATTATGGTATGGATGAATCTGAAAAATGTTGGGAGAATACTTAAAGCTTTACTGAGATGGGTGTAGAAGAGAACTACCACTGCAATAGTCAAATTGTATTCTTTAAATTAGTAACAAAAATGCTGTTTACTTTAGCAAGTGAGCATATTTTGCACACAAATATAGGCATTTGTAAAGAAGCAGACTTCTCGAGAAGTTATCAGAAAGAAAACTTCTGTTTTGAAGTACAGAATTGAAAACAGTAGCAAACATAAATGCATTCCTTTACATTATGACTAATCCATAGATAACCAAGTGCTATGTTCAAATAGTTATTTAAACTTAACCAGTACAATCAAATGTGCTTTATTCATTTTGCTTGATGCTGTTCTTGTATTGTAACAAGCAGGCTAAGTACAGTGATTTGCACAAAGTACTGTGCTTGGAATATTTTGACAGTTAATAGGATCTAAGATCAAATGGTGTATATACATCTCCCACTTCTACTCATGTATCATGTAAATTGAATAGCTGTGTGTATGCAAGATAACAGACAGCACTGGCATTAGGCATGTTTCTGTTCTAATAGAACAGAGTGTACCTACAAATAGGTAGGAAAACAAGATTTGGTAAAACAAGCAGATGCTCAGCAGGTCTGGAAAAGCTCCAGTCATCCCAATGCCTGGTAAAGGACTTGCTCTTAAACTCCCAAGTTTCACAGTTTTGTCTCATAAATGCGTATTTGTGCATGCTATGAACAATGCCTCTCTACCAAATGGTTAAAATAATAGAAGTGATAAGATAGATGAATTCATACAGTAAACTCAAAAAAAAAAAAAAAAATTAATGATAACTGACCTGGTGCTTACTCTCTTTAGAGATGAACATTGAGAACTCAGTTCATCTGTCTAAAAATTAAACTCTTTCCCTGGTTTTATTAGGGGCGTATAGGATTTACATGATGTATAGCAGCTCGCTTCTCTAGCTCTCCTTGCTCCTGGAGACAGAGGGGTTTTAAATTACAAACAACTTTCAGGAAAGGTGAGGAACTGTCCCTATTTATGTACAAATGCACAGCATTCAGTCTGTGTATGTGTGGGCTTAAGGTCTGTTCCTCAGAAATTATGATCATAATTGTTTTGGATAAGTATTATCTGTCTATACCATGAATATTTGGGCCACAGTACTCTGGGGCCCAATTTCTGCCACATGCGATCAGTGTTACTGAAACTCCAATATTATTTAGTAATTGAAACCCTGAGCATAATACTGAAATCTTCAAGTCCAGCTGAACTCAACTGTTCATCCTGAGTAAAGAGAGAAGAATTTAAAGCTACACAGAGCTGCCTTAAGCAGGAGATATGGCCAAGTCGTACCAGCCTGCTCCTGTTTTTGTTACTGAAAAAATATTCTGTGTAAATCTCCTGTAAATGAGATTTCATCTTCCTAGTTTTATAGTGGGGAAAAAAGTCAAATTCCTGTGGAGTTGTGCAAATGATTCACAACTTCCAAGCAATGAGCTCTCAACTAATATTACAGTGAAAAGGTAAACCTCATTTTCTTTATGCTTTTAATAGCTGTAGAGGTGGCAAATGCAATGTATTTTAATAGCCCAAGAGGCACTTCTGTAACTACAGTGACATCACAACACTGCAAAATTCAGAGCATAATCAATACAAAATTTACCCAAAATTGTTTGAAATTGCATTACTTCTTTCATTTCAGTATATTATGTTGAATTATACAACTAAATGAATAGTGTTGGCTGCTAAGCAACTCTGATACTTTGGTTTAATGGATGTAGAACTTGCTCTATGATATGGTTCACTTGTAAAGTAAGGAAGTTTTTAACAGACAAACTTCTTCAAGCCTACAAAAAGAAAGTCATGTTTGGAAGATGTGTTTGTAGAAATCTATACCTGCACACACACTGACACAATACCAAAAATGAGAAAGCACTCTGCATAAGGAGTTTGAGCTTGAAGAATCAATGCCAAAGCAAAACAAAAATAATAATCTTGCAGCAATTTGAAAGAAAAGTAATGATGGAAAATGTCTAAAGCCATTAAGTTCTTCTCAATCCACAAAAATACAGCATGTAGCTTCCAGTAGGTGAGTAGGGTGTGGGCTCACTGAAACTTCAGTAGCTTCAGTATTTTCCTCAACTTGGATTTTTAAGAAATGTAGTGCAGATTTTCTAGGTACTGTGTTGTTTTTTCTCTTTTCTTAGTGTCAAAATAAGGCAGTGTGCGTTGGGGAGGTGAGGAAAAAAAACTGAAACAGTGCTTTTGCACAAGCAATACACCAAGATGTTCTTGCTAAAAGTTCTTTATGATATATGCCAGAATTGGCTTTGTGCTTTGAATCTCCCCCGAGCCTCCTCTCCTCCAGACCAAACAACCCCAGATCCTCCAGCTGCTCCCCATAGGTCTGTGCTTCAGACCCTTCGCAGTGCAGATCCTCAAATTTGGCTGTGGAGGAGAACTGAACAACTGGCATAGGGGAGGCGAAAAGGGCAGTTGTTTTTGGAGCACTTCTCAGTTGGTACTGTTAGAAGCTTTTAAAGAATAGAAAGTAATTCACAAAGTAGAAAGAATAACAAAGGGCTAACTAAATATGTGAGGCCTTGGGCAACCTGCTCTAGTTGTGGTGTCCCTGTTGATCGCAGGGTAGTTGGAATAGATGGCCTTCAGAGGTTCCTCTCAACTCTAAGGGTTCTATGATTGTGTATATAACTATGTTAAAGACAGCAGCTATATTTTCAGTCCGCCACTAGTGGGCCTTATATGTCTAGCTTACCACTTTATTCATGGACAAAAACCATCCCATGCACATCTGCTTTTTAGTTTTGTTAAAAAGCAAGCTCACAGTATGTAAGCTAATAAATGGCAGGGAGACAGGTGATACCAGTGTTGTACAGGCACAACATAGGAACTGCCTGGGTGATGGGTAATTTTAGAGAGCCCTTGGGAACCCCCCTCTATCGCACAGTTGCTGCCAGTCATACCAATACCCGTTGCTATTAGGAGGGCTGGGGGGGAGCTGCTCTGTTAAGAAGGGAAAAGCATCACGTGCTGCCGGGCTGGGACACGAAGTGCTGGCTATGGGAGCTTCCCACACACCAAAGCAACCTTTCCCTGGGGCTGCTGATGAGGTCGTGCAGAGGAGTGGGCGGCCTCGTGTCAGCCCCTGCCGGCGGTGCGTGGGGCGGGTCAGGTTCCACCATGTGACACAGGTTGGGGAGGCAGTGGGGCCGCCGGGATGCTCAGGTTTAACGTTTCTTGTGCGAAAATAGCTGCTGTGCCAGGTGCAAGCGTGTCCGTAGGGTTCGGTTTCATCCTCACGGTGCCCACGAACAAACCAGCAGAGGCGCAAACCGAAGCGTGAGGGCTGAAGAAGTAACTGTCGGAGGGCGCTGCAGGATCCTGCTTCCCTCCGCCGCGAGCTTCTCGGTCTGCAGCTCACACCGTCAGCGGCCCCTCAGCCTCTCGGTGCTGCGGGAGGGAGAGCAGGGCAGGTTAGAGGCAGCCCCCCCAAGCCCCTTAAAGCCCGGCTGCCCGCCCATCCCCGCCGGCCCTCACCCGCTTGCGCTGCTCGCTGAGGCAGAAGGTGCAGATGGGGCGCTGCGGGCAGGGCTGCGGGGCGGCGGGGCTCTGCAGTCGCAGCACGTTGGCCAGGTGCGAGATGTAGCTGGAAGCCAGGCGCAGCGTCTCCACTTTGGACAGCTTGCGGTCTGCCGGCTCGGTGGGGATGAGCGTCCGCAGGGCGCCGAAAGCTGTGTTGACGCTATGCGTGCGGTCCCGCTCCCGGGCGTTAGCCGCCGCCCGCTGCCTGCCACCTCCCTCCCTCCGCCTCCTCCGCCTCCCGCCGTTCCCGACCGGTGGTCGCCCCGCGGTTCCGCCGCCGTCTCCCGCCCGTTGCTGCCCGGCGCCCGCCGCCCCGTCGGCGGCCTTCATGCTTCCTGCCTCCGCGCCGCCGCCCCATGACTTTTATGCGCGCCGGGTGCTCGCTCCGCGTGCTGCCGCTGCCCGCGGCCGGGGGCTGCCGCACCTGTCACAGCGGCCCGGCGACGGCTCCCGGGGTGAGAAAGCGACGCTGCGCCGCAACCCGGAGCCCAGGGGGTGCGGGAGGACGAGCGGCTGCTCCCCGGGCTGCGCCCCTGCCGTGTCCCACGATAGGGGGTGATAACGGCAGCGAGCGGGTCACATCTCCTTCCCCGGCAGCCGCCGTGCCTACACGCAAATCCAATTTCTTATTCTGTTTCTAATGTGTGCCTCCCTCAACCATTTTATTTATTAAAAGGTCATCGTGAGCACTAGTTTATTACCACCTCTCTTTTCCATATGAGTTTGACAAGCCTGTCTGCACTCGCCAACTCGGCAAAGGTCACGCTGCAGGTTTTCTGGAATGAATAATCTCTACCTGATTAAGTGTCCTCAACGGACTGCTGAATGCTGTCCCAGAAGCCTGTTTGTGGCAGTGGTGTTGTCTAAATGCGAGTCCTTCTCGAAGCAGGACTGGATGAGCAGCCATTCAGTGTTAAGGGCGGGCACACAGTTGGATGGGGCAGCTCCCTGGGACATGGACATCCATGAGCAGTGTGTGTTGTACCACAGCCATGCCATAGCATAACAATGAGCAAAACCGACCTAATGCAGATTTTTTATTTATGATGTGTATATAAAACTCTCCCTTACTGTCCAGCACAGGCTGCAGAAGTGTAGGGTTGGATTGTAGTGCTGTTAACCGGAAGCAATTGCATTGGGTGCAGAGCAGGGTGAGGCCCTTCGCCTGCTGATGCTGGGGAAAGCAGTGTTCAAAAAGCAGTAGCTTTCCTTAGAGACATAAATATAGCTGATAGACTTCCATAGTATTACAGGCTCTAGCTTAGCTGTTGCAAAGTGAATGATCTAGAATATTCTGAAGTTGAATTTCAGTGCTTATGATGACAGTGTTAATTTCCTCAGAAAAGATGTCCCCATGCAAGCTAGCATTGTTTTCCACGTGGGTTTCTCCAGTTTTGTTGCATGCAATATTTCTAGAGTGAAATACAGGCTCTGTTGCAGTCAATGATAAAACTGCCATTGACTTTAATGGAGGCAGGATTTCACCCTTGATATGTTCTTGCAGCTGAGCAGTGCAGGTAATTGATTGTTTGTCAGACTCAGACATTTGCTTACTGATGTTTTCCTGTCCTTCGTGTTTCTGCTTCTTTCTTTCTATCAATTTATTTACTTTTGTTATTATTACTGAAAGTAAAGCAAAATGCAGAAACACCTCAACAAAAAAAATCCCCAGCAGTTTCAAAACCCTGAGACGAAGCTGCTGCTGATATTAACACAACCAGAACGTATGGCTTATTGGTAAACTGGCAGAATGGACTGCAATAAGCAGTGCTCAGGAAGAAAATGATGCTGTGTCTGCAGACAAAAACAAAATGATTTTCACTGACATCACAGCAATAACTAATCCAGGGGTTAAGGACAAAGGGGTGGCCGAATGATTCCTCTTCTGTTTCCAAGGCAGTTTGGAAGAGTAGTGCAAGAAATGGAGTTGTATTACCCCTTCCCCCCCCCCCCCTCCAGTTAGGATACTTGCAAAAGGGCCACAGTGATGGTGATTTTAATTACAAGGTTATTGATTGGGATAACATTTATGCAAGTGCTAGAGGGAGTGTATTCCTCCAGGAAGGCGTAGAAAGGCAGAACTGCTGTTATTTTACAATTTGCTGAGTTGCTAATAACAAGTAAGAATGGGTCTGCATCCATGTGAGGCAGAACAGTGGACATTTTATGTGTGGCAGTAGGGTTTAGTCTGAAATTTGCATTTTATGCTATGTAGAGAAAGATATCTGAGGGTCATTGCGAGGAAGTATTTATCTGTATTCAAAAGACTGGAAGAAAAACAGTGATAATAGAAGGATAGGAAGAATTTGGCTTATTTCTTGGAAAAAAAAATTACCTATTAAAAAAAAAGCAAGTCAATGAGAGGATAACTAAACCTAATTTATAGCTAAAGATGTTTGTGGTCATGTTTAGGAAGCTTTCCTTCTGGTGGCTCCTATTTCTTCATGTTGTGTTTTTGGAGGATTATACCCGTTATTGTTTGAGTTCTCTGTCAAAGCCATTAAACATACACATGTTAATTTCTGTATGAAGGTCTGCTGCAGGAAAGAGTGGTGGAGATCTACAGAACAGATTTCTGAGCCACCAACTCAGTGGTCTGACCTGCTGGTTTGCATTTTGGCTTTGGCAAGTGTCACCGTGGCTAGCACGGAGGATGCAGAGCAGCCATCTGTGTGGCAATGCCTGCCATGCACCACACATCCAGGGCCTTTGGGCAGCCTGCATTGCTGGCTGAGGGTCCAGCTTGGCTTTGCCATGCACTGCTAGGACTAATGTCAGCTTCACTGAAGCTTCACCATTTGCTGGTCTTCTGGGGTTGGTGGTGTGTGCCCTGTGGGGTGCAGATGTGTGGGTGTGTCTCGGAGAAGCTCCCAGGTGAACAACATTGACCAGCCCTATATTTTGGTGATGTGAATGCATTAGAAAGCATTAAGTGGAAGCTGCTTTACTAAATGTGGGGCTGGTCAGTGTTCTGCCATGTGCACAGGGTCTGGGCAGGCAAGTTTGTGTGGAGCAGTCAGTGACATTCCTGTTTGCATGCTAATGCCCAGAGTGTTCCTTGTGCAGCACTTGATACAAGCAGACCCACGAGGTATTTCAGTTGTGTTTGACAGATTCAGGTGAGAGACCTGAGAAATCTAACAAAGAGAAACAAATAAAGGACATTGATGGCTGGAAGTGTTCACGCGGCTGAGAATTAAGTGCTATTCATTATGTGTCTGTGTGTCTTCGTCTGGCTGTGACAACCGTTGCTGTCCTTCACAGCCAGCCTGGATGATTGAGTTGTCATTTGTGGTGCAGTTCTTAATAAATGTGACTTCTCCAAAAAAAAAAAAAAAAAGAGGTGTTGATTGAAGAGCCTTTTTAATGGCATTTTACCCTGCGGAGGTTCTGTAAGAGAGTGATTTTCAGGAGAAAAGGTGGAGAAGTAGTCAATACAGAATGGTACGTGAGAGTTTTTGGGGAAGGAGGACTCCTGTGAAGCATGTTAAATTATAAAAGATTAAATGTGAAGTGGATTGGAGGCTTCCCCTGTTTCAAGTCATGTCAGGGGGGATGGTGAATCTTGGAAGGCCAGATCATGATAAATATCCTCTCTATGTTTTGAACTGAGAAAGGCAGCAGCCTGCTCTGCAGCGTCATTTCCCTGGCAGGGCAGGAGCAGCCCCAGCTCTGCCCTGGGCTGCTGGTAGTTGATTAATGTGGGATCTCGCCAGTCCCTTCTTGATATTCCATCCAGTCGGGTTTAGCATGACACTTATCTCTTCACTCGCAATCTCTTCACTTGCAATCTCTCTTCTTCATCGGAATTGATCGGTGCCATGATTCTCCGGTGTGTTAATGAGTTTTCTGTGTGGTACTTTGCTAGGGGCCTTGTTAAACTCCAGAGACATTCTGCCTACTGCATTTTATTTATACGCCCACTCTGTTACTCTTGACAAAGAAGAGCAGAGTTGTTTATCTTGAGTTTTTGTCAAAAAATTTGTCTTGCAGTAATTTTTCTCTGCTCTGTCTGCCCACGGAGCAAATCCAAATGTATTATTCACCTGTTATTTCAAACCCATTTAAACTTGCCACATCTAAGAGGTGTTTTATACAATTCTGCTGATACTCCCAAAGTTGTTATTAACTGCCTCAGAAGTAATTTTTGATTGTGGTTGTATTCTGCAGAATGATGACAAGGCACATTCTTTTCTCTGTCAAACTGGAACAATGTAAGGACAGTATATTTGCCCTCAAAAACAAAACGTTTTCCAAGCAGAGATTTTTTTTGTTCATGAAAGCTGAATGTGTTTGGAGCAGTCCCTACATGCTCTCTTCCTTCATTGCATATTAAATAATATATTTACAAGGGGGGATAGTGAAAGGACAAGGGGAATGGTTTTAAACTGAGACAGGGAGGTTTAGATTAGATGTTAGGAGGAAGTTTTCAACACAGAGGGTGGTGATGCACTGGAACAGGTTGCCCAAGAAGGTTGTGGATGCCCCATCCCTGGAGCCATTCAAGGCCAGGCTGGATGTGGCTCTGGGCAGCCTGATCTGGTGGTTGGCGACCCTGCACATAGCAGGGGGTTGGAACTGGATGAAGTCCTTTTCAATCCAGGCCATTCTATGAATCTGTTGAAATCCACCCTGACCCATCGTGGCTGGCGGTGGAGCTCTTCCACTCTCCTGTACTTCACTGTGTTGTCTCAAACATACAACTGTCAGAATGTGCTCTCTTTGTGTCCTTCAAGAAAAGGGACCCAAAGCACTGGGCAGCAACGTGCCAGAGACTCTAAGACTTTTTTCCTATGACAAAATACCAGCAGTTCTCATTCTGTTCACTTTCAGGTGCTATCAAGTGTGATGGTCAATTTGTGTACTGTCTTACTAGCCCACATTTCTCATTTTGCCTTCAGAATCTCATGGCTTGCTGAGTATGATATGCAATGTTTTATAATTCTCACTTAGCAGCTAGCATTGCTGATAAAGAATCTAGATTTTTCTAGCTTCGCTAGAGTCATCTGAGTCACTGAACCTGTAAGAGTAGAACATACAGTATTAGAAAAGCATAGAGTTGTCATGCAGAGTAGGGTGGGTTGTTATTTTGATCCTAATAATCAGTGGTTGGACTTGGATGATCTTAGTTGTCTCTTCCAACATTAATGATTCTACATGCTAAAATGGTAGAACGATATTGTAGAAATGCAGCTGAGTTTCAGGTATTAAAAACAGTTGGCTACTGTAATAATGAAAGTGAGATGCAGAATCATCCACTTGTGTGGAACAACGATTGCAAATACTTTGCAGTGCTTATTGCTATTTGATTGTTCTCCTCTACTCCCCATGACTGCTAGATTTTGCAGAGAAAGCCTTGTTTTCATACTTGCAGCTTTACAATCTCCATATATGAAGAGCACAAGATTTTGCAGATACTTTTAAAGAATGTGTTTTCACCAGTTTCTTTTTAAGTGCTTAGAGCTGACAAATATAATTCAGTGTATAATTATTGGAGCTTCTGCAGTGTAACTGCATCTGAAGTTGTTTGTGTGGTTTCTTTCCCTCCTCTTTGCTTCTTGAGTGTCCTCCTATAAGATACTCAAAATCTGACATTCTTCAAATAGTCCACTTTTTTCTCCCTGCTCCTTCAATTTGAACACT